TTATTATGCAATATGGAGCTTATTATGCAATATAACGTGGTAGAATCTTGCTACCCTGGCCCTGGGGAGTCCCTTGTAACCCTAACCCTGCCTTTTCAGGGCAGTGGCAATTTGGGTTCTGGGCGACCAAGAAAAACATGGGGAAATCAGGAAGACTTGCTGGAGAGAGCTTGTGGAAAATCGGGACGAATACGCACCATATGTCACTGAAGATGACCTCAGAAATCCAGGCAACCCTGTGCCGCAAGCCATTGTTGATGGGGCTAACATTTACAATGTCTTTCTGGAAAAGAGCTTAACCGACCGATTTTGGGGTGGCGATAAACACTTGTCTGCACTTGCGCAAGCTCTTGGGATTCGAATCGTTGTGCTAACCCAACAACGGGGGACTTTTGGATATCAACCTAGAACCAGACAGCCGGAGAAAACCATCTATGTGTGGTATAACGGCGGAACACACTACGAAATCATTTGGAATAAAAAACTTCACAGGCCTCAATCAGCAAAGAAAACTCCCCAAAAAAATATGCTGCCAGGGAAGCCTCTACTCAAGCCGCCATCCTTGCAAAGAGTGTTTCAAATGTACTCCCTGATGCTCCAAAAGGCAAGAGAGTATCTTTTGGCACCTTGGTTCTTGAGAAAACAATGACCACAGGCAACACTATGATGCATATCGACCCAAGACTTCAATCTCCCCCCAACTCTATTGCCCCATCCATTTCCACAATTGCAAGCATCCGTAAAAGCCAAGATCAGAATCCCCCCTCACCAAAAAACTCTACTCCACTCAAACATCCAAACTTTGTGGTTCCTCCAGCTTTTGCCTTTGCTGGGACTCATCCACTTCCTGAAAAATTGAAGAAGAAGAAGAGAAACAGAATGCCTGGATTGGAGAAGAGTCATGGATTGCCTGTTGTTTCTGGCTATTGGAACGCATTAAACGAAAGGTTAAGGTTGGAAACTGGAAAAAACAAGAAGACTCTTCCTTATGGCGTCATCCGGTTTGCCATCCCCGAGGGCCTTTTGGATGGTTGGCGCATTTCACATGACTTTATTCAAACATCACAGTCTGTCTCAGCTCCAGATATTACTGGCTTCTACCATGCGGTTGCTTACTGGATGACCGGCACACAAGATCGCCATGCAATTTTCCAAAAGCTCTTGGCCGACAAATTAGGAGGTCAACTACCTCAAATGTCAAGGGATCACCAAAAGTCATCAAGATTAGTCAGTGTGGAAAACAAAAGCCTTTTCTCTGTTGGCGAAATCAAGAAGGCTTTCCAATTGGTTTTTGATGGTAAAAAACCAGACAAAGTAGTATATACTACTGCTGCAACCATGTTGAGGGTTACTTTTGTTGAGGTTGTGATGGGCCCAAGCCCTGCTAATTGGATGCAGTACTCACCGACTGGATACCAGAATACAGCTTTTCCTTGTCTATACCTTATTTTCAATTCAATTTCCAGACGGTTCCAAATCATGTGGGCACCAAAGATTCATCAGCCAGTAGTTGGTCCCGAAAACGCCGATCTTCAAACACGCTTATCAGGTAATACCACCTTGTTTTCGGACACTCAATCACCCCCATCCCTACACCATATATTGCCAGTCCAGATATATCAACCTTCAGAAAATTCAACCTGGCAAACCTCCAATTGCGATACTTCACCGCCCCAGAAACGCTTCAAAATAATCCAAACAGGTCAAAAGCCAATTCTAACCCTGGAGTCGTATTCCATGCCCACCATTGAAGACTTGAAGACAGTCGATTTTGGTCCAGCTTCTGGGATTCATATATTCCACCAGAAAAAATCATGCAATCCACAGTGCCGTGCAGTTGCCAAGACAGCCTATTTCAAGTTGGGGAATTTCAAATATGTTGGATGGAGATTTTCAATCAACCTTTTTCCAGACAACAAGGACTCCATATGGCGTGCTCTCAGCTTTTGGATATATGGCAGTCAAGGAAGACATAACGAGATCAGAAGGTCATGCGAAAGCAGGACCCATGTTCTCAACAACCCGCTCGAAGACCCTCCTGAGTTTCATTACTCAGAGATTCCAGGGCTATTGAGGGAAGTATCAAACAGATATCGGGCAAGAATTTTACTTGTTTGGATTCATGATGGAATCGCTAACTTGCAAGAATTCAATCCACGTTACATTGATGAAGATGATGAACGCTTGGTTCCCAGGAATTACTTCATTTACAGTTGGAAAGGAAGATTTGGTATTTTTTATTGTCACCACCACTTGTGACTGTGTAAGCATTTCTTTGTTTTGAACTTTTGTGAACAATTACTGATTCAGGTTTCTTTTTTTTCAGTTCTGCGCTTGAATTTTTCTTGTTTATAAATTTTGCAAACAACCTTTTAACTTTCAGTCATGCTTGGTTTTTCCTTTCTTGTTTATATTTTTGCATTCTTGTTTTGACCTTACTGAGATGAAGGTTTCTCCAGATATGATTTGAGATGGTGTTTGATTGCTTACTTACACAGCTAGCATCAATGGATTAAAGATATTTCAGGAATGGCTGAAGTGCATTGTTTTGAATTCATGGGTGAGAAAAAATAGTCAGAAAGGAACCACCTGGATTCAAAAGCTAGTATTAAATGACAGAAAAAATTCATTGGGTTTGATTGACAAAATTAAAATGAGGGGCGCAATAATGTAGAAAAATATTTGGTGTTGGGGTTGAGAATGAGATAATGGGGGGAGCATTTTTTTAAAAAGGTGGGTTTACTTTGGAGGAAGTTGATGTAGAGAGAAACAAAGCACTTGATCAGCTTCATCAAACAACTTGTTGGACCAGCCAGCACAACGGGAGCTCTGGTATTTGTATGGCAAGTTCGGCAGCCCATCACCTTTGAGTCTGCGGATCTTGTCAACTATAGACCATCTGAGCCCTTGCTGCGTTGGTTTGCTCTACAAGTCAGTTAATTTTGAATTTCTGGTTTGTAGGAGCAGTTGAAGAGTCCACAGGTGGAACAATGTATTTTTATTTATTGAGGTTTTAGTTGGTGAATGGGGAAATTTTAGTAAATTTGATTTAATTTCTGAGGACAATTGTTGTTTATTGGTGGAAAGAGAAGTATTGATTGTGTGTTGTTGTGCAAGTTGACTCTGGTGTTGTTAATTTGTTGTTGGCTGATTTGAAATGTGGAAGTGATTATCTATATTTTTTCTGATCAGATCATTTTTTATTGCTGGTTATGGGGAGAATGTGGTGGGGTGACTTGTAAGAGGTGAATTGTGTTTGGATGGAATGTTTTGTTGTGTTTTGAGATGGTGGTTGCTGTTGGTTGGGTAAGTTGTGTTGATAAGCTTAGTTTTTTATATCAGAGGGGGAAAGTGGTTGATTGTGTTGATGGATGAGTGGAAGATGAATGAGTTTGTATTTCTGGATCAGCAAACTGAAACTATAAATAGATAAGAAAACAAGCAGGTTATGTGATGAGTTGAGTATTAATTTATTCTAATAATGACAGAAATATATGCTATGAAATATGCTTATGATGAGAAAGAGAAAAAAAAAAGAGAGATGAAATATATGAATACTGACATGTTTGTTGGATATTGGAGGAGGAATGTGGTTGGTGTGTGTAGAAGTTGGTAAAGTGAAGTGAGATGAGAAGAGGAAATCAGATCGATGGTTGTTTTTTTTTTGGTGATGGAATATGGTTTCATGGCTCTAATGGTGGAAGATGAGGTGTTTTGGAAGTGCTGTATGTTAGTTTGAATTGTTAGTGACCAGATAAAAAAATAAGTCTCTGTGGTTGTTGTCCCTCATGGAATAGAAACATACCAAGTTGAAATAAACCAATGGTTAGAGAGCAGCTTGGCATTGTTTTTGAGGAGGTCACGGGTTCAAAACCCCCTGGCACCAAAAAAAAAAAATTATGCGGGTCATTTAATGTACAGTTTCTGCGGGGGATAATTCATACAGTTTGGGGGTTAAGCATACAGTTCAGGGGATAAATCATACAGTTTGGGGGTTTAATAAATTTACCTTGTGGGATTAAAATCATGCAGTTTGGGGGCTAAATAAAACATACAGTTTGGGGGCTTAATGAGTTAACTTTGTTGGATTTTGTACATGCATTTTGATATGCAATTCCTCGCTGACAAGTGGGACGTATGCAATGTAATTCATCATGCAATGCAATCCTTCATGCAATATGAAGCTTATCATGCAATATGAAGCTTATTATGCAATATGGAGCTTATTATGCAATATAACTTGGTAGAATATTGCTACCCTGGCCCTGGGGAGTCCCTTGTAACCCAAACTTCAGTCGGAATTTCAATCCGAGGCCTCTAAAATTCCTAACCCTAACTCAAAAACGGGGGTCTGAGGAATGAGGGCTCATACCAGGCGCTCCTGCTGCTAGGCGAAGAAATATATCCAAAAGCCTCAGCCTGAGATTGCAGCCAGTAAGCTCAAATTGAAGAAAGCCTTGCAGACTCTCCTGAGTCGTCCGGTCGCTACTCGTTTGGGTTAAAAGATGAACCGATGAGAATCGGACCTGATCAACTGTATAGCGTTCTAATCAATTGAATCAATCAGCCTATCATAGACCTTTTGACCTAGATGATCGACCACAAAATGCTTGCGACCAGACAAGCTCCCACTTGTTTAGTCTGTCAATCAATGAACCATAGCATGTATGTAAGTACTCTTCTGGTATTTGATCCCTACAAACGCTATCAAACTCAAGCTGAAAGTAAATCCTTCTGTCATATTCATCTCTCCGTTGCTGCATGTGTGACAGATTTCTGCTGTCCCTAGTGAAGCTCTACTTGCATGAAGACTTTTCAGAAGAGCAATTTTCACACTATCCGTCATTTCATGGGTCTCAACAATTTCTCTTTGCGCATGTTTGACTTGTCAGAGACAATTCTCAAAGCTATTACTTGAATGAAATCAAGCAAAAAGTGTGTGGTAATTCGCAGTAATTTTAGCTGGCAATCAGTATAAGTGAGACAAACTTAAGAATGAATTACAATGGTATGCACTGCTGTAGAAGTGGGCGGTAATCATGATGCAGAGGTACATAGGGCACTTTTTTGCCTCTTTGCAAAATCCAGGGCAATTCATAATTTTTTTGCTTCACCCAAGAATACACAAAGTCCTTTGCAAGAGACATGGCCAGCTCTTCTTGTTTGACTGTCACCAAGTTGGGCGAGTCAAGAGCCAATTGAAGCCGAGTGCAGATCAGATGATCTGTATTTTTCCAAATCGACCAGTTTGGGTTAGCAGGATCTACATAATGAGGTTTCATTAGGGTAAGTCAGTTCTCTATCATTTGTAAACATGATGTAGCTGGTGAGATATCAAGACGTACTCTCCAAGTACCAAAGGTGATAAAGATTAAGTAACAGTTCGATGGCGGCAGGTGGGGCTGCCTTCTCTGTTTCTGGACCCAGCATCACTCCGATTGTGCGCGAAGTCAAGAAGCTTGCCAGCGATCCTAGTTGAGGTCGATTTTCGATTTTACTTTGGGTGCACTTGAGGTATTGAATTGCTCTGAAGATCGAATTGACCCAAGAAAGAAGTGAGTGAAACAATTTACGTTCCAATCTCGGGATCTGATCAAGATCATATCCATGGCGTGGGTAACTTGCTACAAGTGCAAAGCAGATGCCCCGAAAAAACTTGAGTCGAGATGCGGGAGGAGGTGTGTCGAAGTGTAGTGCAAGTTTAACTAGATGTTTGACCGCTGAAGGAGCTGTCTTGGGCACTCCGTAACGTAGCATCATCGCATGTAATTGTGGATGGTTGATGCTGAAATTTTGAAAGATGGATGGACACGTCAAAGTGAGAAGCTCAGGGCCTGTAGGAAAATCGAAGCTAAAATCAGCACAGCACAGCTCTGGAAGCTGATAAAGATGTGGATGTACACTTACAGTGGAGCTCAACAAGACTTTCCCAGGCAGAAACCGTTAAGCCGTGAGGACTGAACCATACGGGTTGAGGTGGTGTTGGGGGGGGTGAATGTACCAATGACTTGGGCAAGTGGGTTATGATGACCCTCACGACTTGATCTTCGACTAGTTTGACGATGCTTAAGCTGGGTTGCTTAATTAGAGACGTTGCAGGAGATGTAAAAACAAGGTACGCCTCGCAGTCGGCCTTGTGGTTCTTGAGATCATCTGAAGGCTTGCCTGTGGTGGGTGGTTGCATGTTGATGGATGAATTGGAGTCAACTTGGTGGTGTAGTATTCTGATTGTGAGCGATCAAGCTCAACAGCCTTGTGTCGTTTGGCAAATTTCAAATCATTTGATGTAAATACTTTCTCACAGCTCTTTTAATGTACATATTACTCATATCAAGAGATCATGCATAAATATGTACATTTATTTACATACATATTTCCATATCGAGAGCACCTGTGGCCTACCCTATACCCCATACAGTACACCCCCTCAGACAGTGAGATAAGGGGGTGCTTCAGTCCAACACACCTCAGCCTGTCGGAGACAGCAAGGGAAAGGAAGGACCGCAGAGTCTTACTGCGCGGGCGCAGGCCGCTGCGTTCCTTTTTAGGGAAGCGGGACTTGACCCTAGGCGTCTGAGGGCGCTAAGTGTACCGCTTCTGTACAAGTTTGGCGGCCAAGGAATCGGCCGCCTAGGTAGTCCCGGGAGCAGACCACTCAGGTCTGCCCCCCAAGACCGCCGTGTATGGGGTGTAGGAGGCAAGCGGACTCCGAGACACTGTAGTGCCTTCCCGAGGGGACAGCTGTGTCTTATCCGGCCAAGCGGTGTGGTAAGATTGATCAAACCCATAGATGTAGTTTAAAACATTTTATTACACATAAATAATGTTTAAGATGTTAGAAAGGAAGGGGTAAGCTACAGAATAAAATATATAATAATTATTGGGTTAATACATAGCTAAAATAAGGCACAAATCAGGCCTAAAATACACAACTCTTTATGAATAATAATTATACAAATAGACTGTAAAAACACATAAAAGATACTACATCCATCTTAGACTGGTAAATCAAGGTATTGATCAGAAATTACTTCACAGACTAGTTCTAGAAAATAACTCCTATACTACTTAGTCTAAGAATACCAGTCTCATAGCAATTAATCTAAGAATAGGCCTCATATAGTAGATTTACAACCTCTTGTATTAGATAGGCACTTAGAGACTAGTTCATATCAGACTAGGTCATCTCAGAGTAGTAAAAACCACTCTAGAAGTACCCTTCTCAGACGAACTTGTGTTCAGGCCAAAAACCCATGTACTGCAGAACAATTTGTCTATAAATAGAGGCTTTTCTGGCCCATGTTTCCCTCTTCCCTCCTCATGCTAGCTACAGAACAGTAATCAGAGATATTACTCAGCTTTCATCACCATTGATTAAGAGATCCAGAGATTATTAGAGCCCCTGAACTTCCCTTACCTCAATTTTGGCCATAGACAAGTAATTCAGAAATATTGCTTAGCCATTCTCACCTCTTTGGAAAGATTTAGAGAAATCAGCGTACCTTTTATCAGAGCCCAGAGAAACCAGAGAGACTTATAAGATCAGAGAACCAGAGAGAATTTATAACAGATTTAACAGAGAAACCCTACAGAAACCCTTTAACACTCAGAAAACCCCATAAAACTCCTTACCTCCTCAACAGGAATTCTTAAGCAACAACAACAGTAGTATCAACACTAAGATAAATTTAGAAATAAGCCACACCCTTATTTTTCTTAGTGTAACTTTCCCGCAAGCTAGACAAGAGGGCAGTCTCACCCACACACCAATACTAATTCTACTATTTCATAGTCTTATTAGCTATTTTATCCCCTCTAAGCTCTTTACTCACTTGCTGAGCAGTTCCACAGCGGCGGGAGGACAAGCGAGTCACTGCGCCCCCCAAAACAGAAGCGCACACCGGAGTGTGCCCTGGAAGGTGTCAGGCCCTCACCCCTAAAGTGGGTGAGCCTGCCTCTGGCTTTGGCCTCTTTGCTAGGGAGGGTGGGACGGTCAAAGAATTTCCAGGCCGATAGCGCTAGAGAAGATCAACTCCAACCAACTCCTGAACATGGTTGCGCGGATCAACGAGTTGTCAACCAGCACGAACGAATATTCAGGTCACGTTACTTGACTGCAAGATCCCCACAAAAACAAGCAACAACCAACCATCAGGCTGCCACATAAGATTGCCCTCCTCGTCAAAGTTAGCGAAAGCGGTTTTGAGATAGGAGGCCCCAATGACCGTCTCAGATGCGGAGTCGTAGAAGACCTTATTGAATGGCCGGCCGTTTTTGACGAGTGTGGACGGGATTTCGCGGTCCAAGCAGACGTATTCTGATATGTAGGTCTCCCAGAGCGATGCGGGGTCGCAGGCCTGAGACGGCTCCTTCCTCTTGGATGGAGACCTCACTCAGAGAGATTAGAGAGCGGCAGGGAGCTGTGCGATATCATGTTTAGTCTTCTTCATCCCGGAGAGTCAATGGATCCGAAAAGGTCCATGGGCAGTCGGATACGAACCACACCGGGCGGCTGAGCCGCTAGATAAACCCCCTTGAACTTTCCGTCCATCTGTATGGGTGTAAAGCTCCTGGATTGAGGACTGATTTGCTCGTCGATCTCAATGGTCCGTCCCATCGCATGGTCTTCAGATTCAACAACAGACACTTCGTCCACATTTTCGACAGCCTCGAATTGATGGCCGATTACTTTTTTGAGCAAGACTGCAGGATGGCCATCGTTTTCGGACAGTCGCAAGGGAATCGTGAACGAGCAGAGGATTTCGGAGACCGGCAACGCACCATTTTTGAGCATCACCTGAACCCGACATGAACAGCAATCAATCACATCAGGAAAATGATAGAAAAGAAAACAAGTCAACCGGCATTGACTCAGAGCAACAGTCAAGATATGTATGGTCGAATCCTTACAGCAAGATGAGGCCGGGACGCAATGGCGCCGGTGAGGAAGCCAAAGATATGCGCAATTGGCTCCACCGGAGAACCCTGGTCGACCGATCCAAAGAGCTCCACCGGCTGAGCATTGGCCTCGAGCTTATCCTCCTCAGCCATTGTTTCAGGCAACAGATCAAGCCTCGGTGCTGTGAACACAATTGCCAGTGTCGGCAAACTTCGAATCTTTTTTTTTGAGAACATCGGAATAAAATAAACCAAAGTCGATGACTGGCAGCGTATAAAAAAAGGTGAACGATGTGGAACTGCTGAACAATCAGAAACAGAGCTTGGAGGGGAAATAGACTACTACACTACAAATAATGTAAATTGAGACTATGGGTGCTGCTGAGGTTGCCCTCCTGTACAATGCTGGAGTTGGGAAGAGTTACACTAAGAAAAAGAAGAAAGGTGTGGCTTGGATTCTAGTAATTCTTAGTGAGTTCTAGGACAGGGAGGTGTTATCAAGGTCTAGTGATAATACCACTGAGTGAATGAGGAGTGATGAGGAAGGAGGATTGTGGAGTGAGGATTAAGGTTCAGAGGGTGTGAGCAAAATATGCAGAAGTGGTCAAAGGATAATGTGCAAAATATGCAAGGTTTCTGAGGAATGAGTGCAAAGTATGCAAGGAGTCACTAAGGGGCAAAATATGCAAAAGGAGGGGGAAAGAAAATATGGCTAAATTACTGTTGTCTATATTCTTTATGTATATGTATGTATTGTTATCTATTCTCTGTATGTGGATGTATTGTTATGTATTCTCTGTATGGATCTCTCTCTAGGGGGGGTACAAGTGTAAGAAGGACTACTTATATACTCTAAGATACAAATGAGAACAGACTGTGGCAATCCTGGTTATGAGAAAGAAATGTACATATGTAGAAATAAGAGATGAGAAATGAAAACAGAAAACAAGGATGAGTAAAGGGGAACAAACCCAAAGAGGAGAAGGTCTGAGAAAGAGTGTACTACTGTTATCCTGAAGGGTACATGTGAAATAATGAGTGTAAAGAAAGTATCTGAGAAAATATCTGATATATGTAATGAGAAACAACTACTGTAAAGAATGTGACTGATGCAATGGGAACAAATAATTGTAAATGAAAGTACTTGAGAAAGATATGATGTATGAAGCAATCTGTAAATATGTACCATATGTAGCTACTGTGTAATGTAAATGTACAGAAAAATATCTGTAAAACTAAGAATGAAAATAACTATTAATCCAGTAAGAAATGAAATATGGCTTGAGTGAGTGACTATATATAAAATTGGGTGTAGAATCTGAATATGTCATAATAATGAAGGAAAACCAAGTGAATATACAGTGAAATAATAGGGGCTTTGGAAAGGTATGGGTTACCACATCCTCCCCCAACTTATTGTCTGTCCCCAGACAATGCAGCCAGTATGAAGATAGAGGACTTAAGAAAAAGATATAAAGAGAAAAATATAAAAGAGAAAAAATAACCAATGAGGGGGGAAAGGGAATCCAGAAAGAGGTCCATCCAAAGGAGCCATATCCAGAGTCCAGGGTTGATCCACTTCAAGGAGGGAGTATCTGTTCCATCCAAGAAGGCCAAGTCCTGTATCTAAAAATAAAACCAAGGAGGTAATCTGTATCCAAAAAAGAAAAGCCAAATCCAAAGTACTTTAATTGATCCAATCCAAGAGGCCAAAATATAATCCAGACATTGATCCACTCCAAGAAGGCCAAGTCCATAGTATCCAAAAGTGAACCACCCTAAGGAAGGAGTATCTGTTCCAATCCAAAGAGGCCAAATCCAAATAAACAAAGTTGAACCACTTCCAAGAGGCCAAGTCCAGATTCCAGGGTTGAACCAATCCAAGAAAGCCAATGTCCAGGTATCTAAAGAAAATTCTTAAAAATGGGCCACCCAATGGAGGAATTCTGTTATCCTTTCAATGAGGCCAAGTCCAAGAGTCCTGAGGTTGAAGTTCCATCTAAGAAATCCAAAGCCAGGTGACCAAAGAAAATCCAAGGGGAAAGACTGAGTCCAATAGTCCAAAATAGTCCTAAGGCCAGTAAGAGAAAAAAAAGACTAATGATAATTGAACCACTTCAAGGGGGAGTATCTGTTCCATCCAAGAAGGCCAATATCAAGAGTAAGACCTAAGTTGATCATCTTCAAGCTGGAGTATCTGGTTCCAACAAGAAGGCCAAAGTAGGTAAAAGACTTCTGAAGTTGATCCAAGTCCAGGAGGAGTATCTGTTCCATCCAAGATGACCAAGCCAAAAGTAAGACCTGAGTTGAAAGGCAGGTAAAGTGACTGCTGAAGTTGATCCAATTTCCAGGAGGAGTATCTGTTCCATCCAAGAAGACCAATCCAAGAGTAAGACCTGAGTTGAAAGGCAGGTAAGGTTGACAAAAGAGAAAAAATCTGAATTCCAAAGTCCAAAAGAATCTGAGTCCAATGTCCAAAGAGGAAAGTATGAGATGCCAAAGGGGAAAAATCCAAAATCCAAGGTCCAGAAGGAGTCCAGGGAAATAAGAAGGTTTCTAATAATATGTAAAAGTAATATATCCAATAAAATAAACTATGTAAAATATCTTATATTCAATCTATCTGAGTAAATCTGGGGGTTCAATCTAATTATCTCTAATTCTGAAACTACACAAGTATATACCAAAGTCTGAAGGAGTTGAAGATATGTAATAACATAATAAGGGTGTAATAAAGGGGGTGATTTTAAACTAACTACTCCTGAAAAAGGTTACTAGTGGTGATCAGAAAGGTAAAAGATAATTGATGGGTGGAATGCCCCAAGATAAGGAGGTGGTGGGAGGTAGAGAATTTATGGAAGAGTCCAATGAGCAAAATATGCAAGGTTGGTTGAGGGTGGAGTTTAAAGTGCAAAATATGCAATGATTTGAGGAAGGGATTAAGCAAAATATGCAAAGTTTGGTATAGATTTAAGTGCAAAATATGCAAGGGTAGACTATCTGGTAAAGACTATAATCTGATGATGAAGTGGGGGGAAATTCTCAAAGATGTGGTGAATGAAGAGGAAGTTGATGTCTGTTGTCCATGGTGGGTGAAAGAATGAATCCATGGATTGCTGAATAATTTTCATGATGGGGGTGAAGGAATGTAGGTGCCATGCCTGATGGGTGGTTTGGTGATTGGTAAATGATGGGATGACTGAATCCATGGATCCATGGTTGGTTTTTTTTTCTTTCCAGGAAGAGTGAGTTATTAAATAAAAATTTGATTGGAAATTGAATTTTACATTGCTGGCCAAAATGATGGAGGTGAGGTTGAATGTGATCTTAATTAGGAAGCCCATGAGTTGTCCACAAGAGAAATTTTCCTGGAAAGGGAAAAGCAGGAAGGTTGTAATTAAAAGGGGAGGCATCCCCAAAAGATACCAATGGTGATGGAAAATAAAATGAAAATAATCCAAAGAGAATCAAGAATGCTGGGGGAGAATGGTCTCTGAGGTGGTGGGGTGTGCTGAAAAAGTCTAAATTACAACTGGAACTAGGAGGGAATAGTTCCTGAAGAGTTTTTTTTTTTTTTTTTTTTTTTTTTTTTTTTTTCTGGAACAAAGGTCAATGCAAAGGCAGTCTGATCCTACTGGGTCTGCACTTCCCCTGCTGCAGCGCACAGCCTACAAACAATAGAAACAACCTACAGGGTTGGTGTAGATGCTCTGACCGTCGCTGAAAAGAGAAAAGGACTTGATCTTGCAGGCAGTACTATACACACTCTTGCTGGTTCTTGGAGTCCGATGCTGATAGAAGTCACCGCGCGGTCGCGTTAAAGACAATTGAGACTGAGCCTTTTGCACGAGGAAGGCAGGGTTTCGCTGTCGACTAGTGAACACAGATCCTGTTTGAGACGAGAATCCGAGTCGGATGCCAGTAAAACTTGATGAGCAGGTCTTCGCAATCGGCAAAAGACAGTTGAGCCGAATGTACAGTCTCCAGATTGAGCCTTTCATTGATGGTTAAGCCGTTCTTTTAGGAAAAGGGGTCGTTTGTACCCTCGCTCTTCTGTCCTTGAAGAGCGAGTTATACAAATTAGAACAAGCGGCCGTCTGTGAGACCGTCGCTGGTAGAACTTGTCGCAGTACGGTGATATCGATCCGGCCATCCTTGTCGCAAGCCGAAAAATGAGTGGAACGGTACAATGATGTTGATCCGACCGTCCTTGTTGCAAAGCCAAATGAAAAAGTCCGGGTTGAACACGATATTGAAACAAAAACCCAAAAGGAAAAGAAAGGACTCGACGGTCGCGCCGTATTCCCGGTCGAACACCGGCATTGAAAGATTATGTTGTTTGATAGCAGGAAGAAAAAGAAACAACCGAGGCGGATAGCCAGAGTCGAAAAGAAAAGAAACTATGTACAGTCCGGGTCGAGCACTGGCGTCGAAAACGCTTAGAAGTGTTGTACAGTCGTCCGCAAGTTTGTTGCTGGCAGAAATTATCGTGTGGCTTGCTCGCGCCTTCGGAAGAGACAGGGAGGAGAGAAGTGCAGAAAGAAGACAAAAAGGAACCAGGTTTGAAACACAAAGCAATGTAGCGGCAAGAATTCGCCGTGAAGGTGTTGTAACCACAGATGTTTAGACTGGAAGGATGCTTGATGACTGAAGAGCTTGCCGTGCGGGTCCTTGCCATCTGCTAAAAGGTGACGAAAACAAAATTGATTGCCAAGAGGCCCATCGAACAAAAGAATAATATGTACAGTTTAGATAGGATTGATCCTGGGCAAGAGAGAAAGGCCGATAGCGTTCTGATTCAAAAGGGTATGCCAACTGGTATTCGCTTGTCCATCCTTGGAGAACAAGTTATATACAATCGAGGCCGACGACCCTTAAACGAAAGGAAACTGGTATAGATAGAATGAAGAGGTGTTTTGTTTGTTGATCCCTGGAGGGTGTGCTCTCTCCTGCTTGACTTGAGAAATTTGGAAAGGATGTTTGATGCCTTCGCAATCTAGAACTGTCAACGTTGGGGGCGCTGGCTCTTTGTAGTCGATGACCGCCGAGAAATCCTTCATGAAGGGTTTTCCAAAAATAAGCGGTACAATCTTCTGGGTAACTAGGAATGAAGTTGTTTCGCAGATTCCATCCAGTGATAGAGAGGCTAGTGCTATCCCTGTGATTCTGATGTCGTAGTCACAAACCCCTGGCAGCCAAATGTCTTGAGGATGTACATCCAAGTTAAGTTTATGAGCCAAGTCTTCAGAGATAAAGTTGAAAAGCCATCCGGGGTACAGCAAGCCTTCACAGC